AATACTCATGAGTACTTTTAAATAGGCTACTCTTTTACTCTTACTCAAGTAGTTTTTTGGACAAGTACTTTTACTCTACTCACACTACATTTTTTGGAAGGTAATGGTACTTTTACTTGAGTATATTTTTTCAGTACTCTTTCCAACACTGCCCTCCAGTCATCCTAGATGTATATGACTTTCTTCGAATACAATCTGAGTTATATTAAAAAATGTCCTGGCTTTTCCAAGCTTTATAATGGCGGTGAATGGGGGTTGAGATTTTGAAGCCCAAAAAAAGTGCGTTCATCCATCATAAAAAGTACTCCACACTCCACTCCATACTTCATGACTTCTTACCGGAGCTACGTCTACATCCTACATCATACACTGGAACGCCACTCTTGTGAACGCGTGTACGGCATTTAGCAGAAACTAGAGATTACAGTGTATATATAGTTTTAAGTATGGATATTTTTCTTACACAAATGCATTGTTTCACTTCAGAAGGCATATATTAACCCGCCCCCCTTTTTATCATGCACTGTTTTGGGCTTCAAAATCATGGGGTAATTTTCATTTCTGGGTGAATTATCCCTTTAATAAGCACACTAAATAGTGTTAGAATTATAATCTAACAATGTTAAAAGCAGTGCTCGAAGTGGGCCGGTACGCAGTATCACAGTATACGCAGTAGTAACTATATTTAAATTTTTTTTTTTTCTTGCATACCAGCAGTTCTCACATGTTGCCTGTACTTTAGCAGAGTCAAAGTGTCAGCATCACTGTCCGTTAGCACCAAAAGCTAACCAGTAGTACCAACAAGCAACCTGAAAAAATCTTAAAGGTTTTTTTTTATTATTATTGTAGAAAATTCAAATGTGACAATGACAGACATCCTACCTCTCCAGATTCTCCCACATATTGTTAGTGGCTCCCTGATCCCCTAATGCATGCAAATTATATCCCAGAAATTGTGAATTTTTTGGTGATTCAATCGCATGCTGTCAACCGACATGTGTTTATTGTTTCTGACTGGTAAACATGTGTTTTGAATGCGTCTCCGCTCTGACCACTTGTGTTCAGATTTCGCCACACTCTATATCAGTTTCGTGGGAGCACGAATGGTATTGAATGAACCAACCAAAGTAACACAGCTTACGAGTGAGCAGCTTAAGATGAGAAGACAGCTGTAATTGTTGGTGTCATTTAAATTTAAATAGCTGACTAATCTGTTATGGAGCTACTCTTTTTATGTACTACAATGTGATTATGTTATACAGTATGTTATATTATGTTGTATTATGTTAACCCTACTTCAAGCACTGACTAAAATGTTTATGTGAAGGATATGTTTAAGGTTACAAGATAGAAAATATCTTGGTTTAATTTTAAAACAATGAAAGTCAATGGGAAATTGAAACTTGTGTATGTGCTTCACCTCGAAGTTCTCATCTGTGCAGCAGGTACAACCTACACATGGTCCCACAATCTTAATTGCTGGTTCACCCCGTTCATTCTCAAGAGTGAATTTAGGTAGGCAAACATGCCAGTTTTGTCGAATATATCCAATGGTAGTGCCCGGTGGAGACTGAACCTCTAGCTAAAATGTAAATACAACACATAGGCTAATATACAGTATATAAACATAATGAAGTTCTAAACAAGACAAGGATAACATTCATACCTCATGGCTGCTGCAGGAGGTACAAACAGACGGGTGCACCATTCTGATGACCTCTTGATTTGAGTGGTCGGTAACATTCATTGTGAAATGACGTGCAACACCATAGCATTGCCTGTTGCAAGATTCGCTGTCCTCAAGAATACTGAAAACCTTGTTCCCCATGCCATCCTTCACAAAATATCTGTTGACAGGCTTTATTCCACAGCAAACTTTAAGAAAATAAAAGGTAGGAGATAAGAGTGTTGCTCATTTGATTTTGCTGTATTTTCCTTCTGCAAGCCTGTCTTCTGTCGTTCGTTCTTTGTAGACAAACAATTGATCCATCTAAAATAAACATGAAAATTACAGGCTCCTTGCATTTGTCTATGTTAGAGTAATATACATGCATAATGATAAACATTCTTATTATTTTTAAGAAGCATCTCCAGTCCTATCTGACCCCGGTCAAGGTCTCCAGATGAGAAGGACAGTGGGACGGGTCTGGGAAAGGAATCATTGCGGTGTCCTCTAGTGAAGCATAAACAGACATACCATGTGTATGCATCAAACAGTTTCGTTAAACAAATTGTAACACGCTGAAATCCATAGTGTTTAAAAAATTAAAATGGATGCCATCTTTCCTACACAACATTCAGTCATGAACTTCTTATCTGCAGATCCTAACTTTTATGTTCACACTTTAAAGTTCTTTAATATACTGATGTATATTTTAATTCAAGAAATATTGAAAAATAATTTAATATTAATGAACGGCTTAAGTGTACTCATGGCTGTTTCTTAACACACTTCAGTACACTTTAAATGAAAAATTATTTATATCGTTATTTAATTATTCTTTTGTCATCATTGAAAGTTCACTTATTTTAATGCGTTGACTAACACAGCAAATGTAAAGTACTCCATTATAATTTTAAAGGGGTCATATGATGCGATTTCATTTTTTCCTTTCTCTTTGGAGTGTTACAAGCTCTTGGTGCATAAAGAAGATCTGTAAAGTTGCAAAGACTAAAGTCTCAAATCCAAAGAGATATTCTTTATAAAAGTTAAGAGTTAGCCACACCTACCTAAAACGGCTCGTTCGAACACGCCCCCACATATCTACCTCACTATGCGGGAAGATTTGCATAACGCCGCCCAAACGTTCACGCAAAGAAAGAAGGCGTAACTTATATTCTCGCTGTAGTATTGTTGTTGCCATGTCGTGAAGACGCTGTGTGTTTCGTTGTGAAAGCGAAACTACTTTGTTTGGTCTTCCAAAAGAGAACGATATCCGCTTTCACTTGCAGTCTTTTATTTTTTTATTTTGTTCTATTTATTGATTACTTTTTGTTTGAATCGCTCAACATTTTACAACAGTAGCCAGGTGGTGAAGACAAGAAAAAAGAAACTAAATTACAATGTCACTTGCAATCGCCACTTGCACTCTCCGATACCTGCGACGTCACTTGCAATCGACACAAATGGTGCGTGTTGCCAATGGAGACAAGACGCTGTGGTGATTAAACGATTAAAACTAATTTAGTACTATAACATACAGGGTCCTGCAAGAAAAAGACAAGACCCGCAAATCCGTCGCCACACAACAGCAGAATATGAACGCAATGCACAAAGTCTCTCGTTAAGCGTTTTCCTCATGTAGAAAAACATAAACACTTAACATGGCGTAATGTATAGGCTGCAATAGTCCAAATATAAGTAGGCTACTTATTATAAGTGTACTGTAGTGATTCGGAATAAGACAAAAACGCGGTTTGGAAGATGAATTCATGATGTACTCGCTCATTATATACATTTTGCAAATTTTGAACACAGAAAAAGTTACATGGTGCTGCTTTAACTATAGTGTGTTATTTGATATTACATTTAAAGTTATTTTAAATTGCAAGATTTCAAATGTAATTACAAATATACTGTATTTATTAAATACATCACATACAAGTTTCAATAAAATGACATTAAAGTATTTTTAGTAATCCTGCTTCAGTGGGTCAGAAAACGCTCTTTAGTTTAACTAACTGCATTTCTTATACATTTCAACTATAATACATTTTAATTGAATTGTAAATAATATGCAATTAAGTGTCTGAAGTTCACTTCATTAAGTTCACACTTAAGTATATTCTTTTTTTTTTCTGTATTAAGTATACTCTTTTTAAAAGTCTACTAAAGTGTACTTATTTTTCACAAGGGGTCATATCTTGGCTAGACAAAGTTGTAGTCAAAGAAACAAAACGGGGATAGATAGACAACCCCACCCTTTACAAACTCACCTGACAATTCCATATTGGATTTAATCTGGAAACAGAATAAGAAAAGAAACAGTTTTAATATAGTGTTAAATTCTCTTTCATTTTTTATTAATATATCATTTTAAATCTTATGGTAAAAATTCCTCTTAAATTCCTCTAAATCTTATGGTAAAAAATAACTCTTTATAGAACTGCATATTCATATACACAATACACAATTTAACATGATTTAAATTAAACAATTTTAAATAAGAGATATACCATACCGGTGAAATACAATTTGTCGGTTGGGCAGTGGTGCTGATAAATACAGTAAATGCTTTTCTCATGGCACACGATTAGTTTTTGTTGTTGGGTGTTTTTAAGGAGGTTTGTGGTTGACCCACTTTCATGTTCCAAGTAGTTACTTCTGGTTTTAACAGCATGAAAATGCATGAGCTCTATTGCGACAATCACGCCAGGCTGTCCCTCCCTCACTCAGCCCTCACAGGTTCTGGTGTATTAATCACACTAACCTGTGAGCACTATAAAGCACACACACATTCCGTCAGTAGTTGTCTGACTTCATCAAGAGATCACATACTCACCTACACTGTTAGACATTTCTGTAATTTCTACAGTTATTTACTGTATATCACCCAGTATAATACTGCGAATTCACTTTAAGTAAATAACTGTAATACCCTTTGCATCATGGGAATTTTCTGTGACGTCAAACCCCACATACAGTGACTTACTGTATTTTTTTTAATTGCTGTATACTACTGTATTTGCCGTAACGGCCTCTTTGGCGCCATTCTATTGAGGTTGCTTTATTTTCCTCATTTCTCACATCGGGATTGACAAGATTTGACTTACACCGTGTCTACAATGCCACAACAGCTTGGGACTGACTACACTGGATGTTACATCGCTTGTAATGATTGGAAAATCAGTTTGTCCTTCGTGTCAGAAACAGCGCGAGCGCTTGGAGTACATCTGTATGTCAGAAATATACCGGGCATTACTTTACTGTCCGCATCCACTGTAGATAGTATAATGGGTTCTATGGGTCTTGGGTAATGGGTCTTTTGTCGAGTCAAGTCGCGCCGCACCACTCGTGTCCGAGGAAGACACGGAACCAGCGCGGCAGTTTTGCCCAAGGATGAACCCGCGAGAGTGGAAGAGTTCCGGAGAACATCTGCGCTGTGTTGATGCACCTTACGAGAGAATAAGACCAGCAATCAAGGTAAAAAATATATGTACGTTTGTCTGTCTGTTTGTGTCAACATTTTTGCACACCGGTTTAACCTAGTAACATTTACCCATCAACATAGCGATAACAAACTTTACTATGGTAAACTGCGCTGTCGTTTCAAACGACTTTTGTCAGCTTATTGAATTACCGAATTAAAATTACTTTTAACGAGCAACGCTTATCTTGTATTAACATTAAGTTAACTAATTTGAAATTTTGTTCAGGTATTAGTAGTTAATGTTGGCCAGTAGCCTATTGAGAAAATAAAATCGTATGTTAGCTAGGTTGAACAAGTTTTTTGGCTAGCTGCCTTTCTAGTTTTAGAAATTGTTTGTTATAGTTTTTAATGGAATTTAAGATTTACTGCACTTTTTGTATTTGTGTTTTAAAGGCAGCTACAATGAAGCATCAAGAAAGACATGAGCAGGCCAGTCACCCTGAGACTGATAATTCATGGTAAGAGAACAACTATGGTTTTGAGAGATTTGTGTTTTCTATATGGGGTTTGCCTTTTAAAAGTGTGCCGTGTCTACTTGTTTTTCAGAGAAGACATTTCTGTCACTAACAAAGTGGATGGTGAGCAAAGGTGGTGGCCACGTTTTGGAGCAGCACCTGGGTTTTGCAGATGGCTATGTATTCTTTGGCTGCTTATCTTTTTTCCCCATTATGTTTCTGCAACGCAACGCGTGAAAAGACAGTATAAGTCATTATAATCCATAATTATGTCCCCACTGGATGCAACGAATGCTTCGTTTATAATGGGTTTTCATGTTTTTAAATCATCGCTCCGGCCTAGCAGGGCATCATCACAATATGGTGAGGGGCGTAACATTTCCGTCACATGCTTGAGGTATTCGGCCAATCACAACGCTCTGGATAGCTGGCCAATCAGAGCATACCTCGCTTTTCAGACCAATGAGGTTTGTAAAAATCGACGCGTTTCAGAAAGGCGGGGCATAGAGGAGAAACAATAATGTACAGTATGTGGAAAATAATGTGTTTTTTGAACCTTAAACCGCATAAACACATTTCATTACACCAAATACACAAAATAATGTTATTTTTAGCAGCATCATATGACCCCTTTAAAAGTGTGCCATTTCTACTTGTTTTTCAGAGAAGACATTTCTGTCACTAACAAAGTGGATGGTGAGCAAAAGTGGTGGCTACGTTTTGGAGCAGCACCTGGGTTTTGCAGATGGCTATGTATTCTTTGGCTGCTTATCTTTTTTCTCCATTATGTTTCTGTTGCCTAAAGATTCTTTGTTATTGTAACCCCTCTCTCCCGTGTCCTCACCGCCACACCTTGTTCTTGTTCCGAGTGGGCCTCGAACCCGGGTCTCCAGCATGGGAGGCGGACGCACTAACAAGGAGGCTAAATGACT